GGTGTTTGCCAATCAGCAATTGTGTTTAGGCTGATGGGAAATAAATTTCGCTTTAAAGCAGTGACAATTCTTGCCGCGTTGTTGTCCACAAATTGTAACATTTATGCGGTGTACATGAAAGACCACTTTGAAATCCACTCTGGCTGATGATTTACGACTGCCATCTCCAGTCGATATCGGTCGATAAGTACGCGTGCAGTATCGATCTATGAACACACGTAGTTGCGTGAAGGGCACTCGCGGAAAAATCGATTGAATTGTGTACACTCACGAGTGTGAAAAATACTGCACCTGCCTCACCACGTGGCAGACCGTAGTCTATCGTTGCACCTCTAGATGGGATTCTCACTGAGAGGCGTCCAGCCTTAATCCCTCAGACGGTGGCGTCGCGCCATTTGCCGATCGACAAGGCGCATGCACCAAATAACTGAAAATGGGCTTCCCACCATACCAAACAGGAGTAAATTGCAACGAGCAGATTTTGCCATAAGCAGGGTAACAATTAACCTGTCCCACTTCGGTCTGAATTCAGTACACTGTGGAGGATCTCGGGTTAGGTTATCGCCATTGTCTACACGATTGCACTAACAAAGCCACGTCAGTGTGTGTGTCAACCACGGCACCCCACTGACAGACCCATCTAATGCCTTGTTCCATCAGGTCAAGATCATCTTTTGCTCGTGTAATTGGGCACATTCGGACAGATCACCCGACCATTGGCTGAGGCAGTAAAAGCTCTCTGAGTGAGGTCTTGCACCAAAGTGGGAAGGTGGGGGCCGGCGTCTGACAAGGCGTCAGCTGGGGTACGAGTTTTCTGATTGTGTGGTCTTGGTGACGGGGAAAAGGTAACACTCACGTTTACTAACGCTCCGTGATTTCTGCTTCAAAATGATAGTGTGGCGACGGATTAGAGCGCAGACATATTGGACCACCCGGTCTCAGCCAATCCTATGTCTCTCTGCGTTCCAATGGCATGCGAGGAAGATAAGCAGCCAACCAGAGATGGACCCGAATAAGGAGCAGTATATAATGAGCGGCGTGGCCAGCGTAATGGACTCGGATGGAAGGCGCCTGACGTGTGTTTCTGGCTTGTGATTGGTCAATAAAGCCTGTTCTGCTGTACCAGTCTTATTCATACTTAGTTTCGGGTATTCTGCAATAGGAAGAGCCGAAAATGAAGGATCAAAGGCGACGTCGCTGTTAACGATTGGCCGCCACAAGCCAGCTGTTTCTGGGGCAACATTTGTAACACCTGTTGCTTCAAACTCTCAAATATCGGACCATCAAAAAGGTCTAGAGGAAGCGATTTTACGGTCTGGGTTCGTGGAACACTCGTGATTACCGGCTAACAAAGTGCAAGAATAAGTAACTAACATCGATCAAACTCGATCTAATTTGTTTTTAGACGTTACCACTGGCAGCAGCGTTCAAAAATAATCATGCCATGTTGGCAAAACGCTTAGTAAGTCGACAAAACAGGAGATAGTGCAAGGAGGAAATACCAGAGGTTGATGGGTGGACTAATTGTTGCTTAGATCCGAGGAAGGTACTGTGCTGTCATCCACAAAGTCAACTTTGAGAGGATGTAGGCTCACAAGTGGACAACACTCAGGACGTGATTATCGCCTGTGACGCGGCTGAGCGCCTGATTGCACCCATCCGCCATGATGTGAATGTCCGGCAGTCAGAAAGTCAAACACAGACTCCTCCTGATCTGTTCAGGGAGCGTTTGTAGCGGAGTAGCAGCGATCGCGCCTGAGTGGACCCTGTTTATTGACCTGACGGTGACAAAGACACATCCCCTTTTCATTGGTTACTGTTATCAGACGCCTGTCATCTGCTGCTCACTCATCCACACACACTATTGGCAGGCGTGACGCGAATAAACGGTTGTGTCCTCTGTCGCCTCTTCTTATTCCATTCTCTGGTTGTTACGCGCTGGTAAATAGAGAGGTGTAAGGTAGTGCTTAGGCTCTAGCTACTACATATTCAATTGTTGATCAAGTCCTCACATGCAGGTTGCCTTAGTCGCTCTGAGGATGTTTTCTGAAGCATCCACTACTTTTCGCGAAGTGGACATTCATCAGTGGAATCCAAAATTAACTGGCTAATTTTCAGCTGCGGCTTTTTAAAAGACTCCCTTTAGTGGACTGTCTTGTGAGAGCAACATTTTTTCCACGGCAAGAGTTAGCTGTTAGCACCTCAGGATCCACAATAACGATAAACGAAGATGTTTTAGTGTTTTTTTCCAAAGTGAACAAAAGACAATTCATCACATTATACATCAAACAGAAGTTGTCTTAGCTTCTCAAGAGCTAAATCCTTTAATGACTTGTTGTTCACGGAGTAATCGGGCATAGTTTACCTCTCTGTCAAACGTAATTCGATGAAGATTTCACTCAGGCCTCTAAATGTGCTTGCTCAGAACAGGTTCCACATGTATCTTCCCCAAATAACACATTTTAAAATGTAAAAATCCCATAGCAGAACCCCTAGTTCTTCTGTCAACCGTAATTAGCTAGTCAAGCCGCTTCAGCCTATCGGCAACAGCCTTGGGCCTGGGGCAACGTCACTATGGTAAACCGCTAGTGACAAAGTTATTGCCCAAGTGCTGCGAGGGATTGGTGGTTAGGCGGCGGCTTTATGGCAGTACGGAATGGCAACTACCTTACCGTGATTCTGCTCACGAATGCTCGCGTGCACACACACACACGAAAACAACCTGATTTGCTCTCGTGAGCTGCTGCAAGCTGATTGGCTGGTAAGGAATCTTTCCACGTCCAAGCAATGCTCCCTCTCTCTTCCCCATGCTTCTACTAATTGCTCAGATGTGCAAACAGCAAAAACAGTCGCAGATTATCTGCGTTGTTACCGTGTTTCTCATAATCTACTTACTTCACTCCCACTCCAATGGCCGTGGACACAGCGCTATTCAACCGGCCAGATCGATGGAAGGGGTCAGAACCGGCTTACAGCAAATTGGATCCGTGGCAAACTTGGCCGTCTACAGCGTATTCCTCGATAGACGCATGAGCGACAACCAAACAGAACATCGTGCCCTTAATGGCCACATAAATGGCGTTTTGCGGATAATTCTGGTGAAGAAACGAGAATTCCGACCCCGACTGCGCTGCATTTTTCCTGATAAAACCGAAGTGCCGTCGAGGGATTTGCGTGGGAGCGATTTCCACTTCTACGAATTAACCGAAAACCACCAGAGACCGTATGGCGGCTACACAGTTCACTGCGACGTACCGCCAGACGCGCAGCTTCACGGTCTGGTCGTGATTTCGATGGACGAGCCCGACAGAGGGGCTGCTCTGTTGCCTATCATTCATGCTGATGCCCCCAAAATGAACCGCCTACCCTCCCAGACACCGCCACATTCCTCGCACTTTCGCTACAGATTTGCAGTCTGTGTGCCCGCTCTCCACCACCTAGCTAATTTCAATTTGGCCTTCCTAGGTGACTGGTTTGAAGTCCACATCCGCCTTGGTGTCACAAAATTTAGGATATACTACAGCGAGGTTCTATCTGGAGCGCTAAAAAGCCTCTTTTTCTCCCTTCAAAACAGGGTAGAAGTCGATCTTATACCCTTTTTTTGGCCGGGCAATGACCAAGCGATTTCCCGTGACTCCTGGTATTACCTTCAGACTACGACGGTAAACGACTGCCTCCTGCGAAGCCTCTACGACACCGAGTATGTTTTCTTTGGAGACTTGGATGAAATCCTCGTGCCGCACCAGGCTGGCATCGTCGACTGGGACGGGCTCGTGCAGGCGGTGTGGAAGGACACTCGTGTGCCAGGCATCTGCTTTCCGACGCACGAATTCCACACCGCACCGTCAAAGTCCTTCAGCCTGGCCGCCAACATCCTACGCACGGCCCAGATGGATCCATTCCGAACGAAGTGCCTTGTCCAGCCCACCGCCATCTTCGAAATGGGCATCCATCATATCAGCAAGCCGTACGAGGAGGCCTCTTTGCGCATTCAGCCCAAACTCAACATCACCCAATACGCTTTCATCCACCATTACAAAAAGTTCCCTCCGCTGCAGCGGGCACCCAAAGGCAAGACGGACTTTGTTGTTGATGGGAGTATTTTGAAATGGTTGGGACAGAATTAAGCTGTTTGTATTTCATATATTCATATAGCCTTGTACTTTTACCCAAGTGGATTCATTATATGCATACTTTTGTCCCTATTTTAAGATTTCAGATATCCAAAGGAGAAAAAAGGCTTCTTTAAGAAACCACTCCGAGTTGGGAATATACTGGCGTCCGAAATTCAATGATAACTTCAAAAATCACTAAATTTTTATTGATTTTCCATATCGTAATCGTAGAACACAACTTCACTTATCAAGTTCTCGTGTCAATCTGACGAAAATGCAAGTCAAATTTGTGGAATTTTCTTTTATTGATGGAGCATAGATAATTAAAAAAATTTACAATGACATTCTCTCGGTTTCCTTTGCCGGAATATCTCCTATTTGGAAGAGTTTATACAAGCCATCACACTTTACAGACACAAGTAAAGCCACCGAGTACTACTCGTTGAAACACCATTTGATGGTGAATGTGAAATTTAAAAACCGGTTCTGTTTGAATGAGTGACATTAAGATTAGTGTTTGTTTAAACACATGAATATATAGAAGCGGCGCCTTAAACAATTTGGCAGAAAGCTTTCTATTGGCTAAATGCTTGGTAATCAAGTTAGCTGAAATGAGTTTTCGCTCTCAGGTAGGGAAGAAATATATTCTACAGAAACCTACAAAGCACCTACTTTTGCGCTGAAATAATCATGAAGATGACTCATGAGAATCTCTTGGCCAAGTCGATTTAAGTGATATATTGCACTGGAATGCTAATTGATTGGAACAGGGCACAAATACTTGTCCGAAGCACATCAGCAGTAGTTTACGGACATTGCTATCATGCTGAGTTGATCTGGGCTAATTTGGCTGGAGTTTTTGCAAGAGTGCGTCGCGTCAAGGTTTAACCTGCAGAGATGGATTGTTTTATGACTGGTTTAGCACAAAAGTGCCATCACTCAGCTGTCTGGTTTCGACAGACGAAGCGATTGATGGAAGCGAATTCTGATCCTGTGGGCGATTTGGCCGAACTCTTCAAACTGGTACAGTGTTTAGTGACAACAGTTAGTTCAGCAATGTAGGACGTGGAGTCAACTTGTGCCCAAAAGATAACCGCTACGCCGTTAAA